CCAGCAAATTATCACAAGCCTAGTAGCTTAAAACAAGACAAATGTATTATGTTATCACAGATTCTGTGGGTCAGGATTCCAGCACATTTCTGCTGAGTCCTCTACTCACAGTCTCACAAAGCTGCGATCAAAATGTCAGCCAGGACTGCACTTTAAGTTTGGCTTAAAGTTCTAAGGCTTAAGTTCTTCTTCCAGGCTCTTGGGTTGTTGGCAGAATTTGGTTCCTTTGGCTAAAGGACTGAGGTACTCTCTTTCTTGCTGGCATCACCTGGAACCTGCTTTTGATTTCCTGGAGCCCACTCATGGTTTCCTGCATGGCCTCTACAGCATGGCTCATTGCCTCTTCAAGGCCACAAGGACAGCAATTCTCTTGCTGTCTCTCCCTCTATCCCGCTAAGATGAGGTGTTCTATACCATAATGTAATCATAGGACTGACAAGTTTATCAGAGGCACAGGTCCCACCAATAATCAAGCAGAAGGTATTGTACAGGACAGGTACACTTGGTGGGAAGAGGTAATGCCTCAGGGACCGTCTCAGAATTCTACCTACCTCAATGGAACCATTGGGCAGAAGTTTCTTCCAGAAGAGACACAAGTCATCCATTTTTCTAAGGTTATCACAGTGGACAATTAATTAGATTAAGCAAACCACAAATGCAGCAATCCCTTTTATCAGTGGACATTTTTCCAACACTGTGAGCCTCATGGGATATTCAAATTGGTCGTGAGAGGCCTGTAGGAACTGTTGTTCATAAACTGAATGCTATTTTGAAAGTCTTCGAGAGAAAGAAAATTCAATAATTTATGCATGGGCACCAAGTATTTTTATTTTTGGCCTAAACCTGATAAGGATTGAAAAAGCAATTGCCTTAAAGTTTTTGAGTAAGGGTGATTCTTTTTGCTGGTAGCTCTAGCTAAGCTTTGAGGAGAAAATTCAAAAGATAATCCTCCAAATAGTCTATCACTTTTAAGGCTCTTTGAGTCATGAAGTAACAACAGCCTATCATAAACTTTTCTCTACTAAAATTTTAGGCTAAGCCTGAAAAATTGTGGTGTTTGAAAGACAGCAAAATCCTAATAGTCCTACTCATTGGTATTTAAAAGCTCAGGCTAGCAAAGCTTACAACTACTCTGTGTATGCATTGCATACATAGAGAAAAAATGATTAAAATATTCCAGAGAGACCAGGTGCAGTGGCTCACACCTGTAATCCCAGCATTTTGGGAGGCCAAGATGGTGGATCACCTGAGGTCAGGAGTTCAAGACCAGGCTGGGCAACATGGCGAAACCCTACCTCTACTAAAACTACAAAAATTAGCCAGGCGTGGTGGCGGGTGCCTGTAATCCCAGCTACTCAGGAAGCTGAGGCATGAGAATCGCTTGAACCTGGGAGGCAGAGGTTGCAGTGAGTTGAGATTGCACCACTGCACTCCAGCCTAGGTGACAAAGCAAGACTCTGTCAAAAAAAAAAAGAAAAAAGAAAAAGAAAAAAAAAAAAGCCAGGGAAACATATCCAATTTGCAGTGCTAGGGTCACATTAAGTAAAATGCAGCATGTTTTGTTGTTGTTTAATTTTTTTTATGTTATTGGATAAAACTTTCCACAAACTGTACTAGAATAAAAGACATTTTCTTCCCACAATATGTGTGTTTTGAGGTTTCAATATGTGTGATTTAAACAGTGCCAGCTAAATCAATTAAAGCAGCAAGCTAATATCTCCCTAGGTTGTGAGATTGTATACTGTTAAATGGTCATCAGCCTTCCCCAGCGTACTGATGCAAATTCTCTTTCTACCACTGCCAATCCATGCCTGCCATTATTTGCTCAAGGAACTCAGTAGGAATATGATGATTCAACAAAAACCCACCCAAGTACTACCAAGAAATGACTCAATGCATCTAATCAATAGATACTGGAGCAGTAGCTTTATCTTTGAAAATAAAGGATCATCTTCATATTTCAACCTTAAGTAAAATGCTGCAGGTTTTTATTGGTATTTTCTAGTTTGTGCAATTTGTACCAATTCGGTTATAGCTGACAATTCTGGCAGTTTTTCTCCTTGTCTGCTTAGGTTTGAGAGGCTTTTTTGTACCATGGAATCTTTCACCATCAATCATCTCATTCCATGCAAAGTCTGTAGGGACTCAAGAACCAGAGATGTTGCTGGCCACAGCTCCATGAAGGACTTGGCTTGCTGGCATTGTTCTTGGCTCTTCAGGAACTTCTCAACAGTGTCCAGGCTTCTCCAGCAGTATCCAGCCCTATCCAGGCCTCCTGAGGGTTTATGCAGCCAGTTTGACTGCTCTCGCTCTATTCTCAGCATTCTTCAATATCTGTAGCTCTTTGGGTGGTGGCAGATCCCAAAATTGAGTTTAGATTGCTCCTGCTGTTTGGTTCTGTGGTAATCCTAAGTACATGTCTTTTATTCTACACCTATACAAATCATAGATTCTGAATCTCTGTCTTGGGATGTGCAATCCATACCCAATGTCAGAGGACATAAAAAAATAACATAAGCGGATTTTTCTATGCACAAAACTATTCTAGGAAAATATATAAAAAACTGCAAATAGTTGTTGCCTTTGGAGAGGAATGCCAAAGAATTAAAAAATTATTCTTTTTAAAGAAAAAATATTCTTTTTTATATACTCATTCTATTTGAACGTGTTCTATTCATTTATTTAATAAATATTTGTACATTTAATTTTTCCATTAAAATGAAAATGAAATTTTAAAATATTGAATAATCAAAAGGAGTCCAGTGTTGTTTGATTTAAGAGGAAACTGGACAAGTTCACTGATGTACATCTATGTTAACTAGGGCTAAAGTGACAAACAACCTCTTCTTCAGCAAGGAGCATTTCTTCATTCAAATAAATCCTTGCCAAATACTCTTCTGAGTGCTATGAAGATTCTAATGAACACTATGTTTCCATTTTTGGCCTCCAGGAAGCAGAGATGTGACAGGCGCATGAACAAATGAGTAGAACATAAAGCAGTTAATGGTTAAATGCCAGAGTCTCACTTTGGCACTCAGTGCAGAATTGTTAGAATCACAGTCTTATGGGTTGAACTGTGTCTACTCCCTCCAAAAAAAAGTTGTGCTGGAGTCATAACCCCCGGGGACCTCAGAATGTGACCTTAATTGGAGATCGTGGATCTTTACAGAGTAATCAAGTTAAAATGAGGAGATTGGAGGGGGCCCTTATCCAAAATAATTCATGTCTTTATAAAAGGGGGAACGTGGACATAAGACAGACACACATAGAGGGAAGAGGATACGAAGAACCAGGGAGAACATAATTTACAAGCCAAGGATTCAGGAAGCCACCAGAAGCTAGGAAAGAAACCTGGAGCAGATTCTTTCTCGCAGCTTTCAAAGGAACCAATGCTGCAAACACCTTGATTTTGGACTTGTTTCCCCTAGAACTGTGAGTCAGTAAATTTCTGTTCTTTAAGTCACCCAAATTGTGGTATTAATACTCTATTCCAGCAGCCCTCGAAAACTAATACACATATATTTATTTACTATAGTTAAAATGAAATTGAACCCATCCTTCTCATTCAGTCCCTAAACTAGACTAGAAAACAGAAAGCTACGTAGGCAAAATTCAATTATGCTAATTGTAGCTTCCTTTCTCATCAGTGGTTCTCAGCCAGAGGAGATAGGCCACCCAGGGGATATTTGGCAAAGTCTGGAGACATTATTGGTTGTCACAGCAGGGGGAGTTGCTACTAGCAACTGGTGGGTCTAGAGGCCAGGGTTGCTGTTACACAACCTACAAGGCACAAATCAGCCCCTCACAGCAAAGTACTCATTGATAAACTCAGTTTCTGATGATATCAGACCAATTTTTTCTTTATACATAATGAAATGCTGTTTTCATTCAACAAACAGTTGAGTGCCTACTATATTTCGTGTGCACATGAAAAGACATTTATTAAAATATATATTCACTTAAATGTCGTGAACAATGGCAATGTGAGATGCCATATGCTACAAAAAGTGATTCTTCTGCCAGTGTCATGCCCGTTTGCTTACTGCACCCTGTTTATTTAACTAAGGTGACGTTCATTATTCTGTTTCAGTTTTGCAATTTAAAGTAACATATCACTCCTTCCATGAAATAACTTCTAAATCCTCTGTAATAAATTAGCATGTGTCTGAAGAAAGTAACTGTTCAGAAGCTGGTTTTGGATTTCCTGTTATTGTAAACCTTGTGGGAGGTGACCCAGGCTCAGAAAAAAGAAATTAACAGACAAGCTGCCCGCTATGTTCTAATAGACTGAATTGAGACCACATATTTGGTGGTCTCTCTCCTGGTCTCCTGTGCAGTCTTCCTCGTACAGTGTATCTGCCTTCCTAGTTCATAAAGGGACTAAAGCTTTTGTTCGTCCTTTTGAAATACTGCAAATCCATCTGACATATATTTAAATGTTTTTGTTCCACTGTCAGAAAAAGTTAAATACTGAATCTTTCTTTAGATAACGTGTAAAGTGTTAATAGGGGTTTTTTTCTTTCCTTTGATGAGTTTAGATTCAAATTTCAAATTGAGATGACTGGTGAAAAGATGTCATGTGGCTTCATATAAATGCCTGATGGTCTTTTATCCACATTGGCCATTGTATATTTGAATCTGATGGACAGTTTTTCTTAAAAAAGAAAAAAGATCGGGTCCTAAATAACCCGCAGATCAGAATAAAATGCATCGACAAGTTTCTTCCATGCTGTTAGCGTTTACTCACTTATTTACCCTACAATTTTATAATATATTTGACTGAGAGGAATCTGTCAACAGCTCCTGCTGCCTATGAAAGGGGACCATTTTCTTCCACATAAATGTTTTAGAGCCATTGACCTAATTAACAATAACTCTAAGTTGAAGAGTTTAATATTTAAACTCTTCAAGTTTACAGGTTAATAATTTATTGCAGACAAAAGAAGTTGGGTACATTTTTAAAACTAAAGAGCAAACACCTGTATTATATACAACAAAACTGTTGCATTAACTCAAGATATGATGACCTCATGTCACATTTTTAGTTGAATATTATGCTGTTGGAAGGATTTTATAAGCCATGCAACAAGCGTAAATGGAATGAAGAAAGTTTTCAACTCCCAGAGGTAGGTGGTCCAAGTCTTTTTGTTTGGTATGTTTTTATAGTGCTTTCACTGCAGCTTTGAAATGCTGTAAATAAAAGAAAAGAAGAAATGTTAAGTGCTACCTAGAAAAACGTTTGTATGTGTCTGCTGTTTACTTATTTGTTTGCTTGTCTCTTGGGAGCATGAGCTCCTCAGGACTCCTGTCAAATACACCACTCTTATTCCCAAAAAAACAGTGTTTCCTCGGGGAAAATAAGTAAATCCTTTCACCATCACAGAGTGAGAAATAAACTAAAGGATGACAGAGATGCATGGAGTGTGTAAGCTTTCATATAAATGCTGTCAGCATAAATTAGGTGTGGTTAGGAATAGAGAAAGAGCAGTAGCACCAGAAAGAGTTATGTGCAGGCTTAGAACTGAAAAGAGAATGAGAGAATAAAAAGACAACAGTTCGTAGTGTAAAGCTTGGAAAGGGCAGCCTGCAGGGAAAAGAAATATACAAAGATTTTATTGTCGTGCAGGACACAGAGCATGAACAGGCTGCAAGAAAAGGACAGCTCCAAAGAAGAAAGTCAACCAGAATTAAAAAGTACAGGACAAAGAGCTCGTGAATGTCTGAGGATTCACAGCAAAGGCAGCAAAGCCTCGTTAGAGGAATTGGAATCGAATAGAGATTGAATGAACCTGAAAAGGGGTCGGAGCGCCCTCTCTAACACAGAAAAGACAACAACAATGGGTAAAGATACACAGGTCATAAAAGCAGCTTTGAAATGCTGGCATCACCAACAGGGTTATTCCCTTAATAATAGTAGATACGGAACTACTATAAACTCCCTGATGTGAAGGGATTAATGATGTCAAACGAAACTGAAACCTCTATAATATACTTCTAATGTATTCTTCTATTTAAGTGATGTTCTTACCAGTTTCATTATTGCAGTCAATTTGATTATCGTCAAATTATCCATTTTCATTAAAGTTGCCATCTAAATCTCTAATTCGTTTAGCATCTAAGGTAGAAGTACTTGAGTGGACTCCTTTGAATAAGTGATACCAGTGATGACAGATAATGGTGCTACTTTGATTGATTTTGTTTACACTCTTAGCTCTCTATTAAAAAGGACAGATTAAATACATAGCAACCCAAAATGGTTACACGAAATTGTTTTTAACTTGATAACTTCCCTTCTATGGAAGGTGATAGGTCCTCAAGCAGTCAGAGAAACTGAACTGATTTACTTCTCCCCACGTTACCCTGCTCCGGATTTTCCTTACCTTGTTGATTAGAGTCAGAAATTGCTTAGCAGTGACTGACAATGCGTATATTATTTCTGGCACAACACAGAACAACATGGAAAAGTTCCATTGAGTTCTTTATGGCCAATGAAAGTGTTATTGGGCAAATATTTTATATTTGTGCGGGGCTGGTTTTACAACAGGTATTTATTTAGTCACTCCTCTCGTATTTATTGAGTTAAAACCTAGGATCTGGCAGATACTGAGTAGTATTTTCTGCCCACCCAGGATCTGGGCTCATATTCTAAATGCAGCTCCTGTAAGGTTCCTAAAACTACAGATTAACATCATCTATATGCTATTGACATTCAGAGGGAGATGTAATCGCTTCTAAATGGGAAGTCTAGGAAGGCATCGTGGAAGAAACAGAGGTGGAATTGGTTGGAAGTGTCTCAAAAGGCATGTACTAATGTTTGTGTATTACATACTGAAATAATGTAATAATCAGAAGTGCAAAGTTTAGAAAGCAAGTGTTTAAGTAGGAGCCATTCAAGGTTGCCTAGAAAGCAGGATACTGTGGGGAAACCAGAAGAGACACAGCATGGGGGTGGGCATCGGGGGGTGGTTAACAAAAGAGACCAAGCCCCCCTCAACAGTTCGAATTTTATTTAGCAGGCGATGAAGAGCCAGTGAAAGCTCCTGAGCAAAGGAGTGACTTCAGTAGGATACTTTTTAAACAGTATTTTGAATGGACTGGCAAGGACATCTGTAGGTACAAAATTCAGTTATTGGACCATTCTAGCAATTCAAATATCAAGTTTTATTGGAAACAAGAAGCACACAACTACTTTAAAAGTTGCTGATGGCAAGAGCATTACTTTTTGTATCCACGGAGCCTAACATGTTCTGTGAAGAAGACACAGTGTTTCGCTAATCGGTAATCAGAGAGTTAGGAGAGGGATCAGGAGCATCCACGGAAAAAATGAAAGCCAAGGGATAATCAGCGCCAGGTGCTGTGGCATGGCTAAGAAGAACCAACCTGGTAGATGGCCAGTGGATTTTACAAGAAGATCACTAGAGACAATGAAGAAAAAAGGAAGGAGTTAGTCAGTGGGTTGAAGGAAGAGGAGAGGCGGAAGATGTGACTGCTATTTTAAGAAACTTGAAGGAGAAAGGCAAGAAAAAAAGACACTCTTTGGTAAAAGGTAAATAACAAATTTTTAAAAAGAGCTTTGTATTTCAAAAAAGACACATACCTGAGAAAGACTTAGGTGATGGGAGAAAACCCAGTGTTCAGGGACAACAAAGGTTCCAGCAAGAGAGCAATTAATTAGATAAAATTAAATAGAAAAAATCCAGGAATGGATGTTTGTTAAGCACTATTATAAACTGGGAAGTATGCTAAGCAATGGAAATATGAAGATGAAAATAAATGGTTTCTGCCCTCACAGAATTTATAATCACAGGGAGAATCAGATAAGATGAGCACACAAATATAATGCAATACTGGCTTTATTTAAGGTGTGTACCAACTGTAGTAAGAGCAAAGGAAAAGCCAAAGAGTGCCTGGGGAAGTTATAGAAGGTACCAAGAATTCTTTTTCCTGTTAATTGAATTATTACATTGTTTTTGCAGAATCATCCCCACTCTACCAAGTCTGTATGGTTTGGTACAATTGACCATGATCTCCAGCATCAGGATAGGCACCTGGCCCTGGGCCACCCAGTCAGAGTAACGCATCCTTCAGGGACATCCAAGGATGGACATGAGACCCAGGCTAGACCAAATGAAATCCTCCCTGAAACTTTTAACTCTCAACTATCAGGAAAGAGCCACTCTCTCTTTTAAAGATAATATGCCAGAGCCAAGCAAGCCTTGGCTGCTGGAGTCCCTTTGCCAACATAAAGCCAGAGCCTGCCTGATAATGAAGTCATCCAAGAGGAATAAAGAGTAGACAAAAGAAGAGGAAGAAATAGAATTTAAAAGACAGACTTCCAAAACATTTTTAATATTTCTAAGACCTCCTAAGACTTCGTTCAGCACAACCAGAGGCAACCAGCGCATGCCATTATACACACTAGTCTGATAAAAATATACCAAACACGTGGTCCTTCAGAAACTTGCCTCTTACAAGTATTTGATTAGCAGTACCTAATGGTATTATTTATGTGGTACTATTGCCACATTATGCCATGGAAATCAGTGCTCTCTTTCCTAATGGAAATGGTCATTGGCACCTTTAGATCTAGTAAAATTAAAGAACCAATTTCAGAAACCCCAGAATCAATCAGGAAAACTTATCCTTAAGATTCTGTTCTGAATAGAGAACCCAAAACTAAGACTGCACACCTGCAGCCATCTGACCTTAGACAAACCTGACAAAAAAACAAGCAATGGAGAAAGGATTCCCTATTTAACAAATGGTGCAAGAGAACCGACTAGCCATATGCAGAAAAACTGAAACTGGACCCCTTCCTTATACCATATACAAAAATTAACTCAAGATACATTAAAGGCTTAAATGTAAAAACCAAAACTATAAAACCCAAGAAGAAAATCTAGGCAATACCATTCAGGATATAGATGTGGGCAAAGATCTCATTACAAAAACACCAAAAGCAATTGCAACAAACACAAAAATTGACCAATGGGATCTCATTAAACTAAAGAGCTTCTACACAGAAAAAGAATAAACTATCATCAGAGTGAACAGACAACCTACAAAATGGGAGAAAATTTTTGCAATCTATCCATCTAACAAAGGTTTAATATCCAGAGTCTACAAGGAACTTGAACAACTTTACAAGAGAAAAGCAGCCCCATTAAAAAGTGGGCAAAAGACTTGAACAGACACTTATCAAAAGAAGATATTCATGCAGCCAAAAAACATATGAGAAAAAGCTCAACATCACTGATCATTAGAGAAATGCAAATCAAAACCACAATGAGATACCATCTCATGCCAATCAGAATGGCTATTACTACAAAGTCAAAAAATAGCAGATGCTGACAAGGTTGTGGAGAAAAAGTAACACTTTTACTGTGTTGGTGGGAGTGTAAATTAGTGTAATCATTGTAGAAGACAGTGTGGAAATTCCTCAAAGATCTAGAACCAGAAATACCATTTGACCCAGCAATACCATCACTGGGTATATACCCAAAGGATTATAAATCATTCTATTACAAAGACACATACAAACGTATGTTCATTGCTGCACTATTCACTATAGCAAAGACATGGCATCAACTCAAATGCCCACCAATGACAGACCAGGTAAAGAAACTATGGTACATATACACCATGGAATATTATGCAGCCATAAAAAGAAGTGAGATCATGTCCTTTGCAAGGACATGGGTGGAACTGGAGCCATTATTCTCAGGAAACTAACACAGGAACAGAAAAACAAACACTAAATGTTCTCACTTGTAAGTGGGAGCTGATTGATGAGCACACATGGACACATGGCAGGAAACAACACACTCTGGGCACCTGTTGTGAGGAGGAGATTGAGGGGCAGGAAGAATAGCTAATGGATGCTGGGCTTAACACCTGGGTGATGGGACTATCTGTGCAATAAACCACCATGGCACATGTTTACCTATTTAACAAACCTGCACGTCCCGCATATGTACCCCTGAACCTAAAAGTTAAAAGGAAAAAAAAAGAAGACTTCATTCCTCTAGAACCACTCTCAGTGCCAAAATCTGTACCAGTCAAGGCTCTCCAGAGAAACAGAACAAACAGAAAAGGAGAGAGAGATGTATTTTAAGAAATTGTCTCACACAACTGTAAAAGCTGGCAAATCTGCAATCTGCATGGCAGTCTGGCAGGCTGGAAATGCAGGCAAGAGTTGACATTGCAGTCTTTAGTCTGAACTGGGGCAATCTGCTTACTCAAAGTCTACTGATTTAAATGGTAATTACATCTAAAAAACACCTTCACAGCAACATCTAGGCTGCTGTTCAAACATAAACTTGCCAAGTTGACACATAAAACTAACCATCACCTCCACACAAAGACTTGAACACAAATGTTTATATCAGCCTTATTCATAATAACCCTAAACAGGAAATATTTCAAATGTCCATCAGCAGTCAAATGGATAAACAAATTATGATAGATCCATACATTGAAATATGTCTCAGTAATAACAAGGACAAGCTATTGATACAAGCAACATAGATGGATCTCAAAATTGTTATGATCAGTGAAAAGCCAAACAAAAAAATACATATTGTTCCATTTAAATGAAATTTGAGAATATTCAAACACATCTATGGTGACAGAAGGAGAGCAGTGCTTACCAGAGAGAGGAGGTGGAAGGAGGAATGAGTTCTAAAGGAGCATGAAAATATTTTGGAAGATGATGGCAATGTCAGTTAGTTTGATTGTGGTGATAGTGTCATGTACACACGTGTCATAATACATTGTGGTAGGCAGCCTGTAAAATGACCCCCAGTGATCCCCACTTCCTGGTATGCATGCCCTTGTAGAATCCCTTTTTTTAAGTACTGGCTGCATTTAGTGACTTCCTTATAGTGAAAATAATGTAGTAGAAGTAATGATGTCACTTCCAGGATTAGGTTACAGAAATGATGTATGCTTTCACCTTGAATTCATTCTTCTCTCTCTCTTTCTGTCTTCTTCCCTCCAGGACTTCCTTCCTCCTTCTCCCTATTCTGTCTCTTTTTCATGAAAATATTGCTCTAAGGGAAGCAAGTTGTCCTGGAGAGGTTCATACGGCAAGAAGGGCCCTCATGAGGGAGCTTGGAAGTGGATCTCTGAGGCCTGCCAACAGCCATGTGACTGAGTTTCAACGTGGATCCACCCTCAGTTGCACACGGAAATACTGTGACTCTGGCCAGCACTATGGCTTCAGCCTTGTGAGAGACCATGAGCCAGAGTACTCAGCTAAGCCCAGATTCCCAACTCACAGACATGGTGAGAGAGAAAAATGTTTGTTGTTTTAAGCCACCAAGTTTCGGACTATTTTTTAAATGAGGCAATAGATAATATACCTACAAAATGTCTTTCACATCACGTAAGCTTCAATAAAGCTGTAAAGAAAGAAAGAAAATAAAGAAAAGAAGGGAGAGGGGAAGGAAGAAAAGAGAGAGGGAAGGAGGTGTGAGGCAGTGACCGAGAAAGAGTTGACTAGAGGGAAGGAGGGAGACAGACAGAAAAGGGGGATGGGCAAAAGAAGAAACTTTAAGGGTAGCTGTAAGAACAATCATTTATGATGATGAAGTCCCCAAGACCATGGAAAGAATAAGGATGGAAAGGAAGAATATGATATGCCTGCTAATGTTATTAATAAATATGTCATTGTCCAGTTTTTGGAAGGGAAGTTAGAAGTTTATCTAGTTGGAATACTTAAGTCTTAAAGAGGAGTGGTTTAGAACAAGAGTCAAGTATAATGGCTTAGAAACAGTGCTGAGAAAATGCCAACTCCCACTCCTGACCCGTGATGTACTGGAAATGGAGCAGGAGCATCTTCTGTGAAAGAGGGCTTCATACAGAAGCCAAGGGCAGGCATCAGGTAAGGCACAGACCTAGACAGAGTGTTTGAAAAGCATATGAACATGCCAAGGAGCATGAATTCCCACAGGAACAGAGGAAATTGTTAGGTGGAAGAATGAGACCAGCGGAAGATGTATTTAGGGAGAGAATTGCGTGGCAATATTTGAGTTCCATTACAGGAAGAACTGTTAACTAGAAAGGCTTACATTTGGAATACAGACAAGGAATGACAGGATAAAATAACCAAATCAAACACAGGCAAAAACTGTTATGATTAAGGGTAGCACGGAGGATTTAGTACTAGGAACATGGGAGAGCCATCTTTTCCTCTAAGATAGGAATGGACTGTATATACAACATGGTTTATACAAAAAGACATTTTGAATCACTGAAAAGAAACTGAAGACAAGTGGGAATTCAAATGCTGGAACCTGAGTAACTTAATCTACATGATTTTATCCCATGTATTCCATGGTCTGGTAGACTCTCTTAATTACCCTCTCAACACCTGTTCTCCCCTTCTTCCTTACAACCAGAACACCAATTGTATTCAGGTTTCCAGCCTCCAGGGAAAGAAGTCCTATCCACAAACCACAGATTAATCCTGGTTAGTCTCCACCAATTGTGGTTATCCTATTATCTTGACAATGGGTGGCTTAGCAACAGGCATATAACCCAGTTTGAGGCAACAAGACAGACATAAGCGAAATCTCAAGAGTAGAAGACAGCCTGAGAGACGTTTTCTCATTCTTAAACTAGTACACAATACAGCACTTCCTCTTTCTGTTCAGTCTTGCTGCGTCAGGGTGCAATGCCTGTAACGAGGACATCTTATGACTTTGAGAGACGCTAGTCTAAGGACCCAGTTAACTGGGGATGGCAGAACGGAAAAGTAGAAATAGTGTAGAATTAACCAAACCTGTAAACACTTACCTCATAATATTTTGTTATTGAGTTTGTCTTTTAATTTGCAGTTAATGACATACTCATTGACTTATTAAAAATACCAACTACATAGTAGGTTAAAAAGTATGACATGAAAAACAGTTCATGGTCAAAAGTGTGGAATATCATGTGTAAAATATTTTTATACCATTTGGAAATCTGTTATTGGCAAATAACAGAAATTTTAAAAGAACATTTATTTCCTTTCATATTAAATTGAAGAGATAGTTCTGGCTTCAGACATGGCTTAACCCAGGCTAAAATGATACATAGCCTTTATGTCTCAGCTCTTGTCCACGTTAGCCTCCTCCTCAGGCTCCACATGGTGTCAAGACAGCTGCCAGCAGTTCCAAGGCTACATTTTTAGGGGTTGTTTTTCCTAGCAGCTCTGACATAAATCCCTGAATTCACTTTACGTGCACATACTTGTGATTGCTCATACCTGAGCTGTGGCCGGAGGAATGGAATTATAGTATAGCTTGCTTATGTCAGGGGTCCCCAACCCCCAGGCCAGGGACTGGTACCAGTCCATAGCCTGTTAGGAAACTGACCATATAGCAGGAGGTGAGCGGCGGGTGAGTGAGCATCACTGCCTGAGTTCCACCTCCTGTCAGATCAGCCGCCGCGTTAGGTTCTCACAGAAGCACTAACCCTATTGTCAACTGTGCATGTGAGGGATGTAGGCTGCATGCTCCTTATGAGATTCTAATGTCTGATGGTCTGAGGTGGAACAGTTTCATGCCAAAAGCATCCTCCCACCCCCCCACCCCACTGTGCATGGAAAAAATGTCTTCTACGAAACCAGTCCCTGGTGCCAAAAGGTTGGGGACCACTGTTTTATATGACCACACCTGGAGCCAGGAGTGGAACCATAACAGAATGTAAGGACTAAGATGGAGCAGATGGAGGGGCTGCAGGAGTAATTACCTAGAAGAAATGCATGGAACTGTTTACTGAAGAAGGAGTAATGGGTGTCGGGCAGGCAAAAACATGAAATTTTCATTTTGACTACCCAAAAGCCCACACGTGCTTTCCAGAAGAAGCCAACCCAAAGGTCATCAAGTCATTACATTACATTACATTACATTACATTACATTACATTACATTACATTACATTACATTCATGCTAACTCCAGGATCTCTGGGTGACAAGCATCTTTCCAAGTTTTGTCTGGACATGGATCCTTGTGATCTGGCAACCTATACAACAAACACAACCACACCCATTGTTGGATAGTAAGTATAGAACAGGAAGCACTTAGGAGGACTAGTGAGATAAAGCTATGTTGTCTCCTATTGTATTTCCTGTGTCCTCACCAATACTTGCACTAATCTTTCATTGAAAAGAGAATTCAACTTTTCCAACCCTATGACTCCATGTTATTGGGCTTTCAGCTTATTGGATTATGAAAAGCAGAAAGAAATTTGTCTTTTAGTAAAACTTCATTATTTTACAACTTTTATTTTAGCCATAGATTCAGACTAGCTTGTCTTTTATAAAGGCTTACTGAGGTATACGTGAGATATTTATATTGTTACATAATGTATGTTTTACCTTACATGAGGTATAACAAAGATTTCTAATGTCAATCTTGAGTAGAGCAGTCCTCAGGGAGATTTCACTCAACCCTGGAACTCTATCAATCTCACAAGCCCATATTCACTTGTCATCACTACTCTTGTATCAATTTCTAGATCAACTGGGACTCTTTCTGTTGTGTCAGAAAACCCTGCCTAAACTGATCTAGCAAAAACAGAACATATTGACTCAAGTAACAGAAAAGTCAAAGGATGTATGGATTCAGAGGAGTTGACCCAGGAGTTCAAGCAATGTTACCAGTATTCAGGCTCTCCTCTGCTCTGATTCCCTCCATAATAGCTTCCTTGCTCAGGTTCCACATGGCTTCAGGATAGCAACCAGATACCTAAGCCTAAAGCCTCCTAGATTAAATGTGGAAGAAAAAAGTGGATTCACTCTCCAACCTGCAATTATATGCCCGTTCTCGAGCAAAACATTGTCCAGGAAAATGAAATTACAGTACCTGATCACACTTACGTCATGTGACTACCTTGAATACATCCCTGTGGCTAGGAATATTCACTAAAATTATGTCAAACAGACAAGACAGGAACTGGTTTCCTCAAAGGATATTGGAGTACCAGTACAAGAATGAAGAGTCATGAATATGGACCAAAAAATTAAAGATGTCCACTATGATCTCCTTCCTGGATATTCTGAATGTGCATCAGTATATTGATGTCAAAGACCTTTGTTGACCTTTATTTAGCCCAGCATTTCCCAGTCATATTTGATACCATATTCTGTTTACTCTGGGCAACTCATGGGACTAGTATTTAGTAAACACTCTATCAAATTAAGTAGGAGGCAAAGTTATCTCTTGGGAAAAATAGAAGGAATGTGACTGAGACTTTAGGAGTACGTAAAAAGTGTTAATTCCTTGTTATAGAAAGTATAACACAGAGTTCATGAGACTAAAGAGGGAAGTTCAGGAAGAGTGACAGACCCATTGAAATTAGGTCATCTGACTCCATTATGAGGTTTTTATGACTCATCTATAAATGTTTCACAGCTAGCAGTGACAGAATTGAAGATTGGTATAAAAAGCTGAGAGAAAATTCAAGGGGCTAAATGACTCAGAAGGCTAGAAAGAGTAACATCAAGATAACTTGTCAGGAAGCCTGCATGAATAAAGAGGCAAGTGAAGAAAGCAGGATAAAGTGATCTGGTTGAATGGAGATGGTAAAAGCTCTGGACTGTCAACTTGAGAAAATATGGGAGAATCAAAGGCATAGACACGTAAGACAAGCCACAAGCAGAGTAACTGGAGCAGTGATGGTGCAGATGTTCAAAGAGATAATGGGCTAAATTGTGGCTATTCCATGCAGTAGATTAAATTTGTAGAAGAAACTCCAAGATTGAGGTATGATATTATTTATCAATGTAGACATGAAACCCATCAGTTCAGTGAAGGAAAAAAAATCAATGTGTTAAGAGAATATCTGGAAGGTCAGACGAAAGAAAGGAATGACTCACATGGTATAGACTGTGCAAAAGAGACTTAGTCAAGTAAATATTTGTTGAGTTCTTACTTAGTGTATCTGTTTGCTAGGACTGCCATTATGAAATACCACAGACTGGGTGGCTTAAAAAGCAGATTTGTTTTCTTGCAGTTCTGGAAGCTGGAAGTTCAACAAGAAGGTGTTGGCAAGGTTGATTTATTTTGAGGAGTCTCCTTAACCTGCGGATGGCCATCTTCTTCTGGTGTCTGCACAGGGTCTTCCTTCTTTGTGAACACATGTTGTCCTTCTTACAAGGATAATCGTCACGCTGGATTGTGCTCATCTGTATGACCACATTCTACTCAATTACCTTTTTAAAGCCACATGTCCAGATAGTCACATTCTGAGGTACTAAAGTTTAGGATTGCAATGCATGGATTTCAGGTGGGTCAAAGTTCAGTCTGAAATGCTTAGTACCTGGCACGGTGTGAGGCACCAGGGATGGAACAGTACATGGGACAGTCGTGGTCCCCGCTACCATGGCACTTACATTCTAGCAGGCAAACAGCAATCACACCTGAATAATTACAAGCACAACTTGGAGAACAAAAAGTATGAAGAGCATTTAACAGAGGTACTTACCGCAGTCCAGCGGTTCTCAAGACTGGAGGTAATGTTGCTACAGGAGACATATGGCAGTGTCTGAAGACATTTTTTATTGTCACAAATTAGAAGTACTGCCAGCATCCGCTAAACATCCTACAATGCACAGGACAGCTCTCCACAACAAACAGCTCTTTGGTCCAAAATGCCATCTTGCCACTGTTGAGAAACTGTGACCTGTAGACACAGTGATGTGTAAGGTCATGGAAAGATCCCTTGAACCAACTTCTGAAACATTTGTACTAATTTACTGGGCGAGGCAGTGTAGAAATGGAATTCTACGCAGAGATAACAGCCAGTGTGGAAACCTTGAGTTAGTAACATGGCGCACATGAATGGAAAGAAGGCAGAATGGGAAGCAACACAAGTGAGGAGAAGGTTGAAATACAACGAGGTACATGAGCCCAGCTCACGCACACCCTAGAGGTCATATCTAGGATGCCAGTCTTCATTTAGATTGTAAAACAAGGAGTATGAAGGAGCAAGGAGAAGATGAAACCTCCTCCTTTTGTGATTTAGTGATATTTTTATAGTAAATCTCCAGGAACTGGTGAGAAAGGAGATGTTATTTGTGATATGCCAAGTTAGTTACAGAAAGGAGAAAAAGAACAATCAGGGAAATTTTTGAAGTATAGAAGATCAAGAAAGTATGAAATACTGTTTTGCGTTTGGAGAATCCAATAATTCTATGGGCCTAGAGCAGAGATTGCAAAGAAGGAGCGGTGCGGGATGAAGAAGCCTCATGACAGGGTAAGTGTTTAGTATTCATACTATAGGCCAACACTTCTCAGACTCTCGTTTGGGTAAAATGAACTAAAGCATAAATTCCTGGGCCTTGTGTGAATGTGAATTCTCTTGTGAGAATTCTAATTCTCAAATCTGAGTTTAGCTCCAGAAATTTTCACTTAAAAAAAAAAAAAAAAAAATCCCAGGTGAGTTTAGTGAAAGTATCAATGCTATACTTGTAGAAACTCTGCAGAAAAGAAATGTGATCTAATTTTCACTATAGAAGATGTCTGCTGGCAATGTAAAGGTTGATCTTAAGGAAGAGATGCTGAAATTGGAAGCAGATAGACCAGATAAGAGACTGTTACTATAGGTCAGGTGACTGAGAAGAAAACCTGAATTCAATAGCAGCAACAAAGGTAGAGAAGGGATGGGAGGAGTCAAGAGAAATGTAAGAGGTGGAACTGACAGAGTTGATTACCTGGATGAATGTGGTCATAGGTGACTTCCAGGTTTCCAACGTGGATTATGGTGTAACAGTGGTACCTTTAATTACAATGGAAAGTCAAGGCAGGAATCAGGTTGGAGTGTAGGCAAACAGTGACAAGAAACACTCTAAACATGTTGCTTTTAGGGTTCCTTAGTCCACCAAACATTTTTCTTAGTCCCATAGATAGAGATGCGGACTAGTGCTTAGAGCAGACAGCTATACTTTAGATGTAGAATTGTAGTCATTCGTGTGCAGGTGATTACATAAGCCCCAGGAATGGCAAGATTGCTCAGGCAAAGTATGTAGAATGAGAAAAAGAGAAAGCCAAAATGGAGGACGCCAACAATTAGAAACGGAGCACCGGAGACACTGGTTGAGGAGACACAGGCCAATGGGAAAGGACAATCAGGCAGAGAACAAATGAAGGAAGACGGGGAAACTGGGGAAGGAAGGATTTTCATGACTGTTGCCATTTCCAATATGCTGATAAATGAGAATCTAGGATGATATATGATATGATAAATGATAAATCTAGGAAACACTACAATTATAATTGTGTAAATTTTCATACTTACATAATTATAAACAATAGTTATACCTATATAATGCCTACTATACGCCAGGCACAGTTCTAACATATATCTTATTTAAACTTCACTAAACTCCTATGAAATAAATACTACTATTATTACTTTTTTATCAATGAGTAAACTGAGACACACAGAGTTAAGTAACTCGTTCAACATCATACACTACTGCCATACAGTCTGACTCTGAAGCCCATGCTCTTAACCGTTACACTATAATCCCTTCCTTTCTCTGTTACAGAACTTACTATACTAAGAAGGATTTGCATTTCTATGTGTTCCCTTCTGTAACAGCACATACACAAGACTTAACATATATAGTAAGTGCAAAGCAGTTATTTGTTGAATTGAATTCTCTGTATAGCTAAAACCATGAAATAAAAGGGAACCTCTTGTAAAGGAACAGAGGGGATAACTTCTATTGAATCCACAAGTAGATGATGTTTCTGGGCAAGTAAGGTTTGGGGCAAAAAAATACAAAGGGAAGGAAGGGAGGGAGAGAGAAAGGGAGGGGGAGGAAGAAAGAAAAAAAGGGAAGGAAGGAAGGAAGGAAGGAAGGAAGGAAGGAAGGAAGGAAGGAAGGATTTCTCAAAGCAAATAGCTACAGTAAATGCACATTTTTTTCTATTCCCACTTTTTTAGAAACTATCATTTTTCACTGTCTTTAGCTATGATTTGGTGTCCTGAACTGCTTAGTCTCTGTGATTCAGGAGCCCTGAGATTTTTTTTCTTTGTTCTGCATTTAATTTATTTTGGAATATTGCAAAATCCATCTGGCCTCTCAGTATCTCTCTGTTTTGCACCAAATAGGGGATTAAATGCTGATTGATCGCTAAAATACTTAGAGATCTTTGGGGTAAAAATATTATCTAACCACAAAAGAATGTTTGATTGCTATACTTACAGGCTATTGCTAAAGGAAGATCAAAAAAAATTTTAGCTATAGACTTGCTGTGTGGAAAAGAAGAAACACATTTAAATAAAAAAATTTTGGGCCAAGAAAAAATTCTAGACAAGCTAAAGTCTTCATTCATGAAGATATTCTTCAATCATAAATAAAAATTCAAAATAGATTTATTACCCTACAGCACTACTTATACATTATTTATATATTATTTACCTCTTTTGATAATCTAACACTTTGACCTTTGTCTTCATGGTTTGATGTAGTTGCCCTAAATATTAAACACACCAATATGAGAACAAATGTCAACAGACTAATCAAGTATTAGAATATGTTGGGAGCATTCGCTGACTGTTGTATTATTAAAACTATGGGGAAAAAAACAGCTTCCTGAGTGACTTTGTTCACGGCTTGAGCTGGCTAAGGAGGGTGTTTCATAGAAGACTCAAGAAGTGTGTAGAACTAGAAAAGCAGTTTTTTTGTTCCAGCAGCCCCATATCCAGGAAGACAGATTTGTTTTCTCTTCCTGTGGGAATTAAAGGAGAAATCAGCTGTCTTCTTTAAGAGTCCACTTCAGTGCTTGTTAACTTTGCTTTTTATGTGTTCAAAGGTATTCATTCTTCTTCCTTATGTTCATCCCTGTACTCACTAATGAACATGTGGCACTTTTTCCCTCTTTCTAATCTCACTCCTCAAGTGAGCCCATGCAGACCCACTAACTTAAACACCGTCCTTTCACTCAGCCTCGGACAACAGCTCTTCCCTTTCTCTTATGCTCTATCCTTGAATACACAGTATTTGATATTTCCTTCTGGGCATCTAATACGTATCTCAAACTTTGTATCTTCTAAAGAGGTCTCTTGTTTTTCTCCTAAAGGAAATCACAGCTCACCCAGTGGCCTGACCAAAAAAATTAGCAACAATAGATTCTCCATTGTTGCCTTCCCCCACACCCGATTCATTAGCCAGTTCTGTCATCTTCATTCTAAAATATACCCCAAATCTCTCCAGTTTTCATTACCTCCCACTGTTCCTCTTGTTCCCCAACTCCACTGTAACTCATTCTCCACAGAGCAGGTAGAATACATTTTTTAAAAATCAGATCTTGCCATTTCCCTCTTTAAACCTTCCAAAAGCCTTCTATCCAATTAAGTATAAAATCTAAACTCCTTATTCTGACCCTCATAGCAGGCGTTAAAATCACTTTCACCACTCTATTTCTAACTAACCTTCTCTACTTTCCAGCTGGCAAGTTTTTGAGCCACTATGGTCTACAGTCCATAGATCCTACCATCTCTCACTGTCCTTCACCTCCATCACCTCCTCATTCACATCGTTGGAGAGTTTGAAATCCATGTCAATAAGTATAATCAGTCCTATGCATGTATCTTTAAATCTCTTGCTCCTCCCTTACTACTTCATACTTACTTGGCGAACTTCTAATCTTGGTTAAACCCAATTCAACTGTGTACCATGCCTGCATCCACATACATGAAAATAGCCAGAAAAAAAGCACACACTGATACTGAGGGTTCCTCTAGTATCAAGGGTGCCATAGTGCTGTCTGGGAATCCTGTGTTTCTCTAGCCCATTGTCTTTCCCAGTATTCTAATCTCTCAACAAAGAACCAGGCTTTATATTCCTCTGAGAGCACAGAAGCAATTAGAATCTTCATAAACTTCCATTATATCTACCAAGCAACCCACCTCTGTGCCCATATGCCCTGCTACTCTTGAAACTGTAAATAAGCTTCCATTATCCTAGAAAAACCCAAACCATTGTATGCATTAGTTCCTACTTTCCCTCTTCTACTTGAAAGCATTTCTTCATCATTATTCTGTTTCATCCCTGTATCATTAAATTTTTCTTCTGTACTAGCCCTTTTCCTATTGCACATAAATATATTATCATTTTGTCATTTTAAGCAAAAAATGTTACTTGATCTCACATACTACTCTAGCTACTGCTCCATTTCTCTACTTTTTACAACATGTCTAAAAAGCATTTTGTCTTCGATATTACTTTTCATTTTCTTGAGTCAACTTTATCAACCTTTATAACTATCCTTAATGCAAAACTACCCTTACCTAGGTCACAAATTGCTTCCAAATTATTAAAACCAATGCTCCATCCCCAGCTGTCTTTCACGTGACATCCAGTAGAAGTTGAGACAATTTCTTACTCCTTCCTAATTAACATTTTATTCACTTAATGTCCAGCAAACTACACTCTCCTGCTTCTCCTCTTATCTCAGAGGCCACTCGTTTTCAGTCTCCATCACTGGTTCCTCCTAATCAACTTGCTAATATTGATGTTCTCTTGGGCTGAGTCTTCAGACAATTTCTCTTCTCTTTCTACACTTGCTCCCTCGATGACCTCATTCAGCATCACAGTCTTATGTATCATCTATATGCTGATAATTCCCAAATTAATGATCCTAGCCTGGACATCTCCCCTGAACTACAAGTTCATATACCCAAACACCTACTCTATAACTTCACTTGGATATCTAGTAGGCATTTAAAACTTAACATGTCCAAACCTGAGCTCTTGATTTTTCCCTCTCAATCCTTCTTCTCCTAGTCTTCCCTATTTCAGTACATATCAACTCCATCTTCCCAGAGACCTGGACTGAAATCTCTCTTCTCATACCACACATCCAGTCTGTCAGCACGCCGCACTGCTACCACCCTAGTACAAACTAGGCTTCCTGTTTCTCTACAAATCACCATCACCTCCTGTATTGATTATCGTAATAGTCTCCTAACAGGTCTCCTTGTCTTTATATTTGTCTCTTTATAGTCTTTTCTCAATGCAGCAAAGTAACCCTGTTAAAATAAATTATCCTATTAAAACCCTCTAATATCTTCACATTTTTGTAATAGAAATAAAAAGCAAACTCCTTAGAATGATCTGCAAGGCCTTAAATGATCTGGCCTCCTCTACTGACCTCTTATCCTACTACATCCAATGTTCACCTTTTCCGCTCCATTCCAATACCTGGGTCTTGCTGCTCCTGGAACACGTCGGGCATACGCCCATC